AGAGAGAGAGAGAGAGAGAGAGAGAGAGAGAGAGAGAGAGAGAGATTGATAGATAAATAGAGGGCACAAAGTGAGTTGAATGTGAAGGGATGATATGTAAACAATAAAATTGAGGGGTGACAGGATTGTACTGGGAGAAGGAGAAAGGCAGAGGTAGAATGGGGTAAGTTATCTCACATAAAACAGACAAGAAAAGGCTTTTACAGTGGAGGGGAAATGGGGGGGGAGGTAAGAGGGAAGAGTGAATCTTATTCTCATGGGATTTGGCTTAAGGAGGGAATAACATACACACTCAATCGGGTATGGAAATCTATCTTACCGTACATGAAAATGGGGGGGAGGGGACATGAGAGCAGGAGGATGATAGAGGGGAGGGCAGATTTGGGGAGGGGGTAATCAGAAGCAAACACTTCTAAGGAGGTACAGGGTCAAAAGAGGGAATAGAATAATGGGGGTGGGTTAGGATTAAGGGAAATATAATTAGTTTTCCACAACATGACTACTATGGAAGTGTTTTGCGTGACTATGCATGTATAACCTGTATTGAGTTGCTTACCTTCTCAGTGAGGGTGGCTGGGGAGGGAGTAAGGGAGAAAATTTGGAACCCAAAGTTTTAAAAACAAAAGTTAAAAAAAATTGTTTTCACATGCAACTGGGAAATAAGATATACAGGAAATGGGGTATAGAAATCTATCCTGCCATATAGGAAAATTGAAGGGGAAGGGGATAAGAGAAGGAGGGGGAGAGATAGAAGGGAGGGCAGATTAGGGGAAGGGGTATTCAGAGTGCATGCCATCTTGGGGTGGGGGGAGGGACAAGATAGGGAGAAAATTTGGAACTCAAAATCTTGTGGAAGTGAATGTTGAAAGCTAAAAATAAACAAACAAATAAGAAAAAAAATAAAAAGATAAAAGATAAAGTATCTAATCAACATTTACTTAGTATTTACAATGTGACTAGCACTATATATAAAAGCAGTTATAGTTATTTTAAAAATTTCATCATCTCACAAATTTATGGTATATTTGGCCTTAATGTTATTTTGTAAAACTGTATTATTCACTTCTTCCTCTAGCATTCTTTAATGAATTTAATATCTGTTATTATTCTTATCCATTTTTTTCTTCAAGGCTTCTAAGCTGTGTTCTCTCTGAATCTACTTGTTGAGTCCATTAGATATAAACCAAATTTCACATGCCCTCAATTACCTGACAGGACATTTTGCTCTCTTTTCTTAAACAGATTGATAACAAAGGAAATCACCTATTAGTTCATGAAGAATCCTCAATTAACACACCTGCTGTTGGTGCTGCCCATGTTATCAAGAGATATACTGCTCGTGCTCCTGATGAATTGTCTTTGGAGGTAATAATTGAATATAGATGTACAAGTGAAATTCTCAAATACCAAAGTAGGAAAAATTTAACTTTTCTCTATCAGTTATTTTGATTCTTTGGTTGTGACTTAGTTTTTGAGTGAAATAATTTGAACTTTTACTTTGCACAATTTAAGCCCCCCTTAAAATATGTACCAGTCAGTAAAAGCTTTTAGAGCTGGGTGGAGACAAAAACTTGTATTATAAAAATGCCAAGAATGTTAGCAAGTGTGTTTTTTTCTCTGCAGTTTTGAATAAATAAAAAATGATTCTAATCTGTGTATTATGTATATACATATGTGTATATATATACTTACATGTATTAATAGATACATATATTTTTACACAGGTATATATTTATGTGTGTGTGTGTGTGTAGACACACAAATATATTGATTTAAATTTTGACTCTGTCACTATCTGTATGACTTTGGGAAAGTCACTTAAGCTGTTTGGTCTTCATTTTCTTCATTTGTAAAATGAAGGTGATTTGTAAAATGAAGTGATCAAACTAGACCTTCAGTGTCTCCTTTAGCTCTAAATCTATGAACTAATGGTTATTAGTTTTAGTATTTCAGATTATATTTTATTAACTGCATTGTTTTTATCATGGAATAGGTTTATCTTTTGATTTTAAGTGATAAATGTTATGCTACTGAAAATAAATGGTAAATATATTATGTGGAATTGTAAACTTTTACATCATCATAAAAATTGAAGTGAATTCTGTTATTCATCATTGCGGGAAGTCAACTGTTTCAATGTGTTCTGAACCATCAACTTAAAGAAGACATAAATAATAGTACATTATACTTGGTTTGCCAATTGGTTGGCCAGTTGGGATCTCTTCATGTTGGAAGATTAACTATTTAGTGCTGTATTTACAACTTAATCACTTGAAAAGAGCACTGATTTGAAGTCAGAAGTCCTGGCTCCACCTTACTAGGTGTGTGGCCTTGAACAAGTCATTTTCCTTATCTTCAAAATGGGGATAGTTATGATGATTAAACAAGATATATGTGTAAACAGTTAGTAACCTCAACATCATCTGAATATAAGCTGTTAAACTATTACTAGCAAAAATGAATCTGATCTTGATAGCTCATTTGTCACCTTGCTTGAATCATATTGAAAACAAAAGATGACAGTATGCCAGGCACAAAATCTAAAATTCAGAGTAACTCTTGAATACGACCTTCTGTGATCACTTGATCACTGCACAAATTGACTGTAATTTTTTCAGCCCATTTAGCTAATCGTTGACATCCTTTTGTGCAACCAGTACAAAAATGCATTTTGTGAGAAGCAGAACTCTAGTAAATTTTGGGATCCTTTAAAGGGAGAGTTTCTTTAAAGGACAGTAATCAGAGCAGGGAATGATACTTTTCTCCATTCCAGTGCTTAGGTTCAAATTCTAACCACAACAGTAGTTATGCATTTGATTTCCTTTAATTTTTATTTCATAGGTGGGAGACATTGTGTCAGTTATTGACATGCCACCAAAAGTATTGAGCACATGGTGGAGAGGAAAGCATGGATTTCAGGTAGGTGTGGGAAAGTTCAGGAAAAGTTTCTTCTTTGCAGTTCTTGAAAAGGAGGGGGTGGAGATAATTCATACCATAACATTTTGTACCATAGTGTGCTTCTATTAGCAAATCAAATATCTTTAAACAACATGCTTTGGGATCTGAAATTTTCTTAACAATCAGTAGAAATAATACAGAAGATACAGGGATGTAATCCAGGACTTGAAAGCCTTACTAGGGTACTCTTACCTTCTAGTTTTTCTAAGATGAGGCAAGCTTAGACATCTTATTCCCTTCAACCTATCTTAGTTGTATTTTCCTTTCTAGTTATGAAGGGACTATACATGGATCAAATCCAGTTGGCCCATCCTCTACCTCACTTGGCTGTTTAAGCCCCAGCTAGGATTGTGGTGTGGATGAAAACAGTATCACAGACTTTGCATTGGAAGAAACTTTAGAGCTGGCCATCTGGTTCAACATCTCATAAAAATGGACATCCATCTGCTACTTGAAAAACCTCAGATGTGAGAATGAGCTCACTATCTCCTACGGCATCCATTTACACTTCTGGAAAGCTCTTAATGTTATGAACTTGCCTTATACTTAGCCCAAATCTACTTTTCTGAGAGTATAATACAGGAACCTAAATTTCAAGTTGGAATCACCAAGCCCAACTCTTTCATTTGACAGATGAGAAAACTGAGGCCCAGGGAGATTAAATGACTTGCCCAGATTGTTAGGTAGCTACTAATTGTCTAAGGATTCAAAATCAGGTTTTTCTGAGTACAAGCCTAGCATTCTGTAAACTCAAATATGTCCTTTGTTCTGCCTGCAGAGGTCAAGAAGAACAAGTCTAAACTCTTTTCTGCTTGATAACTGTCAGATATGTAAACTATTGTGTCCTACTCAATCTCCTTAAATTCTTCAATGGATTCATGATCTCATTAATGTGGGTACTGCCTCCAAAGGTGCATACTATAGTCCATACTCACCTTGCCCTGTGAAATTCTTTGCCATGTTCCTTTAAATCCTACATAAAAGATTGATCCTCAGCATTAGATGTTTTCTTCTGGATCTTTTACCATTTCTTGAGTAGCATTGTAATACTTAGTCATCCATCTGTTATCTTTTCACTCTTGCTGTATGAGTAGCCTGTTTCCTTTTCAAATTAAATGTTTGCACAGTATTTTTTACATTACTTCATATGTATAGGTTATCATTGGCAATGTTCTGTAGCCTACATTTTCCCACTGTGCATTTCTCCTCTGCTCATTGGGTCACTCATGATTTTTATACCTTGGAGATTGTAATTTACAGCCATGTGGCGTTACCAAGAGAATATTACTGGCTTTTTAAAACGCGTTTTTGTGTCCAGGAACAACTTGGGATTGTTGAAAGCGCTGTGCTGTCGCTCAGATGCATTTAGTTCAGGCTCTTCATCCTGCTTAGTTCTGGGTCCACCTCAGTATATCTGCGGTGCCTGTCCAGAATGTACATACTGATGCACCGACGTGATGTCCTGTCTGTTCCGCCCAACTTCATTGTCTTAGTAGGAGGCACGCTTCATCTGCATGTATTATAAGGTTTTTAAAGGGAGGTGTTCAAAGGACTTTAAATTTACTCCTATTAAATTTTAACTTATTAGATTCAGCTCATCTTTCTAGATCTTTTATGCTTCTGATTGTCACCTAACGTGTTCACTATGGCTCCGGAGGAGAAAGTGAGACTGGTGACTTTGCACAGCCCTCCCTCACTAAAATCCAGTTTGCTTGCATGTCATGACATCACCTCCCTGATGATCTCCTCTTTGAGAATGAAGGACAAAAAGTAGCAACAGCAGCATGTTCACTGTCATCCTCAGCTTTTGTGTCATATGTGAATTTGGTAGCATGTCTTCATCCAAGTCATTGATAAAAGTAATGAATAGCAATAGGTCTAGAACAGATTCCTGTGGTAGTCACTAGAGTCTTATCTCCATGTTGATATTCATTGAAAACTATTCTTTGGGTTTGGTCATTCATCCACTTCATAACTACATTATTATGTATCCCACATTTCTGTATCATAATGTCAAATGTTTTGCTAAAGTTCATGGGAAAAGGCTTATACCTTTTTATACCTGAAAGGCCTCCTCCTCCTCCTCCTCAGTTGCTACTGCTGCCATGAATTCATATTGACAAGATTAGAATTTCTGCCAAGCCTGTCCACTTCCAGAAATTTTGTTAAAAGAGCCTTTGCTCCCAGAAGATGAATTAACTTGGGATGTTACATTATATTAATGCTGTGCAAGCATGTCTTGAAATGCATTCATACTTAATTCTTTTCATCTTATGAATCCCAGAAGTAGATGCACTTGTGATTCCTTGTTACTGAGCAATAAGTTGACACACAAGGTTTTCCTTCACTCCCATATGTTAATAGTTCTCATTAACACTTGATGTGAGTATATTTTCCTTTTTTGGGATCCATTTCAGGAAGGCTGATTTAGGGTTTTGTATTTATTGTTATTGTTCTTTTGTTTATAAACACAAAAAGGCATTTTTACTATTTTATATAGCCTAAATACTTATCTATATAGTTTTAGAATAACAGTAAAGCTAATTAGGTCTTGTTATCTATGATCACCATTTAGTGACATTATTAATAACCATCACTTCAGAGAGACAAATTTACAATTTAGAAACTGGTGTGCAGGGGGATTTTTTTTTTAGCTTGACTTAAGCACAGGAACCTACCCCCCAGTTCATAATACCATTTGACATAACAGCTTAATGATATCTTTATTAAAATATCTACAGAGGATTGTCTGAAAACCCTGTGAAACCCCATTATATTGTCTGTGGCCTGCTGTGACTTAATCACAAAATTTTTCTAAGAAATTGATGTAAATTTACTGATTTATAATATATAACTGGCAGTTATAACTGTTCTGATTATACTGTTGAATTTGAACCTTGGTGGTGGGGGAATCTTAACCTGTGTTTTCATATGTGAAAGGAATTCCCGATATGGAGACTCCTTTGACATAATACACACCTGCAACTTCACTATAACTTAGTCATGAAAAATTTCTAAGTTAAATGACTTGTTCATAGTCACAAACCTAGAGACAAGATTTTAAACTAGTTTTCTCTGACTAGTAGTGTCCCTTTATCCACATGACTTGTCTAAAATTCACCATATCTCCATTTATTATTTTTTTAAACACAGAATGCCCTCCATTTAAAAAAATAGTTAATATGTATTCATTTTAAATTAATTTTAATCATCATATTCTTTATTAATAAAAAGATGCATCCACATTTGACAGTAGTTAAAAACATGAAATTGTAACCCTTATCTTTAAAAAAATTTACATATTAATACAATAGAAGTCTCCGTTCTCTCATTTCTGCTATTTTTACTTAGTTCTTTTGTGAGGGGAAAAATATTGCTTCTTTTTTAAATGTAAAACAGAAGAGGGTGTTTTTCAGTTACTCTATGATCTATGCTAATGGAAAGGACTTGTGGCATAATGAAATCCAAATAAATAATTAAAAAAAATCCCACTAAGATTTGCTTTTGTTGTGATTTTTGTTTTGGAATAGAAGATTTACCTTCCTAATTTTCTTTTGCTTAATGTGAGAATTAATGTGTGCTCCCTAGAGAGGCACTATGGTATAATGGACAAAATATTAAACTTGGAGTCAGGAGGACTTAATTTCACCACCATTCCTTCAGCTCCAAGTACTTGCTATCTCACCTGAATTGCCTAAGTCTCTGAAAGGACCCCTCATCCCCTACCCCTTTTGAGGCTAAAGCCCTGTGGACATTGAAAATCCATCTAAAATCTTCCCTTAATGATGAAACCACTCCTTCAATCATACCCTCCCCATCCAGTAATTCTGAAACCCCCTTCAGCCATCATTCAAGCCCCCTTCATCTCTTTCTTCTCACCCCAACATTCTCTGCCACCACCATGTCCCACTGCAATGCTACTCACCCCACAGCATTTTCATGAGTACCTTCTCCATAGATGACAAACTTGCTTTCATCTTAAATCCTTTCCTTTCTCACAACCTTCCATCTTTCGGCAATCACTTAGACATCACTCATTCAAAATTATAGTAACCTTTTGCCTAACAACAACCAGACACTCCTCCTCTTCCTCAATGAATTCATTGCCTAGCTCATAATCTTATTCTCCTTTATTTAATGCCTATCCTCACATAGAGGACTTCAAAATACATATTGATACTCCTTCTGACACTCTAACTTTAAAATTTACTTATTTTATTAATTTCCCATGACCTACTCCTCCATGCCACCTCAGCTTCATACAAAGATGGTTATACTCTTGATCTTTTCATCTCACACAAACACATCACCTCCATGCTCAAGAATTCTGAAATTCCCTTATCTGATTGTGATTTATTGGCTTTTTACTTCTCCCTCACCTTTCCTGTACTAAATCATGCTATTCTTCCACATCATGATCTCTTATCCCTCAAACCTTCACTTCTCTCCCAGTCCCTGTACTAGTCACTCTCCATTCCCTATCTTGACCCCTTGGTGAACTAGTTTATCTTAACACTGCCCTCTTCTCTCGAATCCCTGTCTCCCTTTTCATGTTGCTGATTATATCCTGCCAGGCTTTAGCTTTGGATCACTCCTATCATCTGCCGCTTTCACTCCTGCACATGAATTGCTGAACGAAGGTAGAGAACTTTATGCAACTCTTCTGACTAGGTCCACTACAAATCTATGTTCCATTATTTCAACTGGACCTTCACTGCTGCTAGACATCCTTCTACATTTCCTTTGTCAACTCACTATCTCACTCTCCACAGTTGCTATTCCAAATATTTTCTTTCCTCTTCAAATCTCTTATGACTCCCTTTCCCCCACTCTCTCAGCTGAGAACCTTACCTCATATTTTACTAAAAAAATATTGAAGCCATTTGCCAAGAAGCCTTCTTTTCCCATCATCTTCATCTCGCATTACCCATATGCTCTCTGCCACTATCTCTTCCCCTTTC